AAAAACAATCTATTCTATAGAAACAAGTAGCTGAAATACTCTCGATTCGTTTCAACCAATAATTCAATGTCTCCATGTCCCGCAGCTCAAAAAAAAAACAATCTATTCTGTGGAAACAACTAGCTCAAATGCTCTCAATTTCGTTTCAACCAATAATTCAATGTCCTCATGTCCCGTAGTTCCAAAAAAATCCATTTTATAAGAACAAGTAGCTGAAATACTCAATTTCGTTTCAACCAATGATTCAATGTCTCCATGTCCCGCAGCTCGAAAATAAAATCTATTTTATAAAAGCAAATAGCTCAAATACTCTCAATTTCGTTTCAACCAATCGTTCAACGTTTCACATGCCCCGCTGCCCGAAAAAACTTTATTCTATTAACTCAAGTAGCTCAAATACCCTGGATTTCATTTCAACCAATGATTCAATGTCCCCATGTCCCGAGCTCCGCTGTAGAAACTACACTATAAGGAAAATGATGAGTAACATTTACTTTTACAAAAAAACAATAAACAGAATGACTAATGGCTTTTCATCACCAAAATAACAGTACGAAGATGGTTTTTATTGTCCGAGAAGTAATAGTAAATATAAATTCGATAAGAAACAAACAAGTTTTCTTGAATATGTGTTAGGAAAATTTTTAAGCAAACAAAATGAAGTAAGTGATTCCTATTTCAACTAGATTCCAAACTCAACTGCAATACATATATATATATAGTCCTCCACCTCTACTATCCAGGTATATAATAAAATGAAATTAATGTTGTGTAGTTTCAATACACAACTCAAAACAAAAAAGTAGTATGAGACCTTTGACGTTGACTGACACTTCTATAATTAGTGTACCATTTTTTGAAGGTTTTTCGAGGCATTAAACCGTTTTCATTCCTTTTCTCCACTTAATAAGTAAGATTTTTTTAAAAAAAGGCTCTGTAATACTCTGCTTCTTGACATGCTCTTTCAAACAAAAGAAAAATTAAATTTGTAGAATCACGACTCACAAAAAACTTTAGGTTGCAGAAAAAGTTCTTTTTGAGCATTGTTAGTTGAATATCTCTCGAAAATATCATGATATGGGATTGAAAATTTTATTTTAGCCTCTTCACTACAGTTCTAACATCTCGTAAAAATTTCATGGATTCGAATGTACCTGGATCAAGATCGATTATGTGAGAGCCGAAGCCGGCTAAAATGTTATTGAACTAATGCTCAAAATCTATCTAATATCATTTTGAAAATCAATATGTCTTTTACTTTCTCTAAAAAAATCAGGAACTCTCAGTTAACATAGAAACACGTAGACTAAACAGTTTTCACAAAGTCATGTATGATGGAAAACAATATAAAACTATTGCTTCAAGTGGAAGCAAAATACTTAATGATACGACATCAAAGAAGTATAGAAAATAGTAATAAAATATTTCCACATATCAATATCTTTTGCTCTACATGTCTTTATAGAAGGATAGATGGGAAGAACAATCAACGAATCGATTTCTGGTTGAAAGTATCTTTATGTTTGAATGATAAATACCAAATACTATTCAAAAAATAAAATGTTCTTTATCTCAATGTTTTTTTTACATATCTTTAGCATTCAGTATTTGAAAACGAATTCGATTAAAAATTGAATGCTAGATATGTAGAAAGAATACAGAAAAAAAGATAAGTTTTGATCGAGCATTTTCTAATGTGAAAACTTTACAAGAAACTGTCAAATATTCACTTGTATGATGTCAACTTGAAATTCAATAATAAAAAAATTCCGCATGTTGAAAGAGATAAAGATACATGAAATATTATTTAATTGTTTTTATTTGAATAAAACTTTGTTTCATTAATTTGTAGCAAATTTTTTAAAAATATTATACTTATATAGATAGCTTTCATATTTGAAGAAACTATGTTATTTATTAATTTATTTATAAGAAAACAATTAATAATTAGAAAATTTGTCAGAAAATAGATTTTTATTTCTTTTTTGTCAATTTGTTAAACATTTTTTGGCATCGATTATGAGCACAGGCTTCGCAGAAATTCTTTTGATGTGCTATACCACCGAATCTGCCGTTCGGAACATCACTAACAGGGATAATATATTCTTCCATGTCAACATCGCAGTCACGTCTTTTCTCATAACATCTTTGTAAGATATTTAGCAGAAGACGCTGAACTGTATACCAAACTTGTTCTTTGTCACATCGTCCAATATGGTACTCATTATCATTTATGCATTTATTACAACGTTGGCCAAATCGTTTCATTCTAACTCTTCCAAAACATTCAGAAACATCAAGATGAAATCGAAATAAAATCATGCTCCATGAAGATTGCCAATAGTGTCCATGATTACATTGGTAACTAAGAAAAAGAAGAAAGCTTTATACATTTTTTTAAAATATTTGATAAAACAACCTTGCACGAGTTCGATAAAGCACTTCGAACCAATGTCGATTATCTCGAAAACTAGCATTCTTCAAGGGTTGTAGTTTCCAGATATGCCCATTAGGTAGCGGACTGTCAGAAAGAATCTCATAAAAAGTTGATTCGAATGCTTTAAGTGACATTTAGTGCTGTACACTCAACGTTTACTGTTTTGTATAGTGAAATAATCGTATGCTCACCTTTTCGCTCATATATATGAAATAACCATAAAAACAAATAGTCAGAGAAAAAATTAAAAGAGTTGTATGTCACGTCTGTTATTACTTGTATGAAATGAGGCCACATTTGTTTTTTGTGATAAAACAGTGAAAACAGAACGAAAATGTCTCATGTACAATAAAAAGACATTTAACGGTGTTTTCGCTGAAACTAACGTCAAAACTTGCGTTAAATGATAATTTAACAGGCTTCTACGAGAAAAATATGATTAAATTTCTTTGAATTTCAAACGATCGTTAAAATGCATGAACTTTTTCACGTGCAAATTGACTGACCGTTAAAGGATATTACCTCATTCTTCATCATCAAATATAGAATTCATTATCATGTGCCAAATATATCAATGATGTATTCGTGAATATTTCCATTTTTTAACGGATTCCTCACATACAAACTTTTTTTTCCATGGAATTCAACCAAAATTCCAGAGAATGCTAGTCTGGTCTAGAGTAGATTATGGTTCAAATATCTTTTCAAATCTGCGAGATATCCACGAGTTATAGTCAATTCATTGGTAAAAAATACCCTTTACATGGGCAAGATTTTGAACGTGAGTATTCCAGTAAACATGTTGGAGTGATATTTAAATTGTAGAGTACACTTAGAGCTAGATCCTAATAGAGACTGTTTTTTTTAATTTCCCTTTATTTGCTTTAAAAAAAAAATGTCCGAAAAATTCTCAAATTCGTGGCCAAAAAATCGCTAATTAAAATCAAAGATCTAAAGTTTTTATTTAAACAAAGGAGAAATTCAAAAATCTGATTCTATTAGCATCTAGTCCCACGTGTCTGCTGTATAACAAAAAAATATTACCACTTTTATATTGAGTCGTCATTAAGTAAGGTTTGCCTGCGTAAACAGTATACTCAAAAAGACGGATTTTGGGAAGAACGAAAAATAAGTTTTCAAAAGCCTTATTTTTTTCAATATGGAGGTTCAGAAAAATCTATGTAATATTCTTAAATTCTATTATAAAATCAACCAACTATAATGCATTCGAGAGTAGACACTTTGGTCTATCTAGCGAGCGATAAATCACAAAACCGATAAATTTGACCAAAATTCACTTTTTCTGAGGAGGCCCCTTAATAGAAGAAGATCTCTATGCCTGACTGGAACAGGGAAAAACTTTTCACAGAATCAAAATGGAGCCGCATATAGTAAGTACCTTTATATACACAAAATTTGATAGAAAAAAGCTAGTCACCGCAATTTTCTTATCGGCTTAAATGTGGAACTTACATACTTCATATAAACTTAGAAATAATTTAGGAGACAGATATAATTTCTCTAATGAATAATAATTTAAAGCCTAGAACAATTTATTTAATAGTGATCAACGTAGGAACCGTTGCTATGATGCATCTTTCTGTAATTAAGTGAAGCTGTCTGCAAGATGGAAAAGGAAAGCTCAGAAACCTGGGTATTAATATACACACACATTATAATATGTGAATTCTACAACAGCAGTTTAAACTATTAGACATTTTTTTTCTAAATGAATGTCTTTCTCACTGCGTCTTTCATTGTCATTAGAGTGACATTTAAAAATTATCTGAAACTTTCCTTAGAAACGGAACAAACATAAACAGATAATAATCTTTAATGTTATTTGTTGAAGAAAAATATTTAACCGTGTGTTTTACTATAAGATGATGCAATGACATTATAGATATTAGTAAATGTCACTTGACGCGTGTGCACATACATTTTGCATCCATTTGTGTAATAATATTTGATCATGTTCTTTTTTTTTTAAATAATTTTTATATTTTATTTAGATTTAAATTGTAATTGAAAATGATCGACTATACAGACCTTTCGTGTTCTAAAAATATTCAGAATTATACTTTCTAGAGTATAGATCCAAATTGCTTTTCGTTGAGTATGGATTTATATTAATTTTATACATCCATTAAAACATTAATGTTCTCTATTTATACATATTCATTAAAGTTTTCCCAGTAAATGTACACTTGCAGATATTTTACTAATATTTCTAAAGTTGTAATGCAGAAATATTGACTTTTCTCACAAAAAAAATCTATATTGATATAAATGAAGTAATCAAGAAACAAATATATAACAGAGCTACAAAAAGGTCACTTCTTTCTAATCTGATCTTCTAGGCCAAACCAGGCCGATTGATGTTTCTAATTGTTTAAGTTCATTGTATTTCATAACCTTTTATTAATCCATCACTCTAATGTTCGCGCTAAAATTAAAGAAAGCTGGACATAAACTCCATAATTCGAATACAACGACAACTATTGATTTGTGCTATTCCGTAATCGAAAGAGAAGAATTTCGAACGTTTTTTTATCTGATACTATATAAGATTAAATTATTTTAAAATCCATCCTCTTTGTAAAACATTCGAAAAAAAGTGCATGAAAATGATATTGTGTTTCGATGTAATTTTAATGTCGACATGGTGCTTCAGATAGAGTGATTTTCAGCATATATTTTTGAAGATACAATTCAGGTAATTATTTTCTTCTATATATCAATATTGAGCAAGCAAAATCACGTATCTGTTCGGTCAAATTAGATAGATTTTTGTTGGTTTTTAGCAAATTTTCTGACTTTTTATCAAGATCCCTTTGAAATGAAATACTTTTTTTCATGCATTGTTTTTCGAATGTTTTGCGAAGAGCACGGATATAAAAAATAATTTTGTCTTATATAATATCAGACAAAAAAAAAATGTTAGAAGTTCTTTTATTTCAATTACTGAAAGTATAGGTCACTAGCTGTTGATATTTTCGAGTTATTGAGTTTACGTCGACTTCTGTTTAATTCTCGTGCGAACATTAATTTCAGTTGTCTACTTAATTTATTTCTATAAAGATAATATCTTAATAAGTTTTTGCATAAAATAATAATTTATCAGTACTCTCATATAATTGGAAAAAATATCATTATGATGACAAAAACAGCATATGATAAGGCATATAATGAAGAGGTAAAAGAAAGTATACAAGGAAAATCTAGAGAATAAAAACAGACAAGAATATTTATATTTAATTATCCATTGTGCACAATATTTAGTATTTTGATTATAAAACCATCATTCCTCATTGAAATCCAAAAAGTTGTTTTTTTTTTAACCAAAATCATCACCGAAAAAAGCTCTACAAAGTCTGATAGAACGCAAAATGTTCTGAATAAAGCAGAAAATGACTGAAATTTTTGGAAAAAAATGAGATACCAAATAAAAAAAAATCATGTCATTTATGACAGATCAAACTTCAGGTTATCTTTTCATGCATTTATCTCATTTTTCATGTTTTTTGCGAAAATTGACTTTTTTTGATGTAGGAAATTTCAAGAACAACAAACTATCGGTTCATAGTTTCTTATTTTTATATAGCGCTCAAGAATAGATAGATCTAAAAAATGATATGAAATATTAAGTGTCAGTAGGCTGGCCACCTGAGAAAGATTCAAGTATGCTATTATTGAGATATCTTTTCTTTTTTTTTTTTTGGCTGATATTTAGTTTCTTTTGGTCAGATCCACTAGATCAGAGAGAAAATTATTAACATAGTTGAAATTAACATCAAAAAATTAAATTATGGATATTCCAAAGCTTTTCATCAACATGTTTTTTACAAAAAATTTACCCTGGATCTCGCTTATACAGTAGAAGACATGTTCAAAGCTTGTAAAATGTTATTATAACATAAAGTGACAGATAGCTAAACAATGAAAACGAAGTTTTTACTCAATTTCTTTTTTCAACTGCACCGTTAGCTGAATATAGAGTAGATTTTTTTCTGCAGAAAAAATGTTAACAAAAAATTTTCAAACATTTATAAGTTCACTTAGTTTTTGATGTTAATTCCAATTATATTATTCATTTTTATCTTTGATCTAATTGATCTGACTAAAACAAATTAAATGTCAAACAAAAAGATAAGAAATAATTTCTCAATAAAATCATTCTTGAACTTTTCTCAGGTAGTCAGCCTACTGACATCTACCATTTGATGTCATTTTGTAGTTCTCTCTGTTCTCAAGTTACACAAATAAAAAAAAAACCTACGAACAGATAATTTATTATTTGTGGAATATTATTGAATCAATACTCAAAATATAGGTCATACTGTCTCATTTTACACGATCGTCTGACAACTGCTTTTGTTGTCGTCACACTACACAACAACCTATTGAATTCCTACTCACTAATATCATTTTGAAAGTTAATATATTTTCTGGAACTCTTCCTTAACATAGAACACATAGACCATACAGTTCTTATGAAGTCATCTATGATGGAAAAAAAGGTATTCCAATGAACAACAAAGTGTTCTCTATGTCAAGGTCTATTGCTCTACATCTGTTATAGAAGATTAGCTGAAAAAAAGTCATTTGAACAATTTCTTCCTCAATGTACACCTCCGTGCTTTATAAGGTAATGTCTGCATTTTGCATAAATCACATAAGTCACATAATATTGCTGTGTAATCCTGATAGAGGACAAATATGCTCAAAGATTTTTATAAAAAAAAAGGATTGATGTTTCCTCAGAGAAATTCATATATAAATTTATTCTTCCTGTTAAATAAAAAAATAAAATATATTTTTTGTCGATTTTCTCAAGTTAATCGTACATGCAATATAAATTGATCGAGCTTTGAAAAACATATTAACGTATTATTTAAAATAATAACATTGCTTCATATATATAGATTAATCTTTTCGAATATTGTTTTTTTTTTCCTAATGCTTTATAATTTTTCATGAAATTATTCTTCGAAGGAATTTTATCTGCTAAATGAAATAAAAAAAAAATATCACATTGACATACCAAATATTTAGAAAACTATAACACACGTTTAGACACTTTTCCACCGACTTATCTCACATTACAAAAATGAAAGTATTTGTCAATATTATA